AGATAATGTTTTTGCCTTTCTCTTCTTTTTATATATTCTACTTGTATATGGATTTCAACAATTTTACTCTTATGTTCTTGGGAGTGTTTATTTTTGGTATTTATCATGACTGATGTTCAAAATGCTTTTAAATCCATAGTTTGATATCTATTTCAGTTAATTTGGGCTGCTATAACAAAAATATTATAGACTGAGTAGCTTACACAACAGATATTTATTTCTTACAGTTCTGGGGGCTGGAAAGTCCAATCAATGCACCAATATATCTGGCATCTGGTGAGGGCACATTTCTTGATTTACAGATGGCCGTCTTCTCACTGTATCCACATATGGTGGAGATAGAGAAAGGAAGCAAGCTCTTTTGTATCTCTTCTAATAAGGGCACTAATCCCATCATGAGGAATCTACCTTTCTGACCTAATTACTTCCCAAAGGCCCATCTCCAAATACCATCACATTGAGGATTTCAACATATGAATTGGGAGGAGGGGACACAACATTCAACATGTAGCAATAGCTTTCATCAATTTTGTAAAATTTGTAACCATCATTGCTTCATATACTACTTTTTCCCCATTCTCTCCCTTTTATCATCATTTGGGACTTCATATTAGACTTTTCATCATCTCTCATAGATAGAAAAATGAATACCTTACAAATACTTCCTAATAGAAAGCTGGTGTGAGTATACTATGATCTTTTCTGGGTTTTTCTTCCTTTTTTTCTCTCTGGGCTTTGGTCTGAATCACTTTCCTTTTGATCTCTCTTCCAGGTCACTAGCTCTCTTCAGGTGTAATTTTTTTTTTTCTTTTTTTGAGTTGGAGTCTCACTCTCACCCAGACTAGAGTGCAGTGGCCTCTCCTGGCCACCACAGCCTCGACCTGCTGGGCTCTGGCGATCCTTCCGCCTCAGATTTCCAAGTAGCTGGAACTACAGGCACATGCTATCACACCCATCTAATTTTTTGATTTGTTGTAGAGATGAGGTCTCACCAAGTTGCCCAGGCGGGTCTCGAATCCGCGGGCTCAGGCAATTCACTCACCTCAGCCTCCCAAGGCACGGGATTACAGGCTGAGCCAACGAGCCCAGCTTCAGGTATATCTAATCTAATATAACCTGCTCCAGTTATTTGTTTCTACATAATAACCCCGCCCCAAATTTTGTGGCTTAAAACAATTGCCACTATTTACTTGTTCATGATTCTGTGATTTGGGTAAGGCTCAGTGGAGATAGCTTGCCTCTGTGCCATATGTGTTGGCTAGGGTAGCTTAACTGGGGTTGGAGGATCCAAGATGGCTTCACTCACATGTCTGTACCACTCCCTCTCTATTTATAATTCTTTACATGGTAGGTCAAAACTTCAAGAGGGTAAAAATGAAAGCTGCTAGGCCTCTTCATGTACAGGCCTATAACTATCCAAAGCATCATTTCTTCCATATCCTTTTTTCTACATAGTAGCCTTTCAGATGGTTAGATACCCTATCTTCCTAGGAATCCTACAATACTACTCCATCTGGCATGGTTTTCATTTCTTTGTCATTCTCCTTGTTCTCCGTAGGTCCTAGATCTAGAACAATGATAGTGCACAACAAATATTTATTCAATAAATGAAGGAATAAGTGTTAACTGTTGATCTGATGCTCCCTTCAGCAGCATACACACTATTGAAACAATACTAGCAAAAATAATAGACAAATTTGCAAATTCTTCAGGTCTTTAACATCTTCTGCATCTAGAACCCCTTCTCCCCAAATAGCTAGTAACTCAGTAAAAGTATTCAGCTTGTTCTACACTCTAGGGTAGGGCAGTAAAGGGGTGAGAATGAAAACAATCTCAATGGAAACAGCCCTTGGGCTCAGTCTTGGGAGAATTCCTAGGACCTGAAGCAATCCTCTCTTCCTTTCCCAGACAAGATATCAGGTGGTTCAAGCAGTGTCTTCCAAGATCATTAACATGTTTCTGAGGTTGTTACTGAGATGTGATCTGCTTCTCTATTTGGTGGCCTGAGTACAGTTGCTGCTGTAACCCATCTCCATTCTGGCAATGCTGGCTGACCCCAAACTTTGACCTCACCCATTATGGCCCATGTTGACTTTATGTTGTCTCTTGCCAACCTAGAACTGCCCCTGCTGCTCACCAAGGTGGGAGCAGTACTCAACAATATACCATAAGAAGTATATTATAGTTCTTTTATTTGATTCTCAAGAGGGTATCACTATCTTATAGCCCTTTCTCTTTCAAGGACTGTAAACCAGTTCCTCCAAGACTGGGTTGGAAAACATTTGAGAGATACCTCTAATGGCATAAGTAGTGGAGATGGCCTCTGATGCAAGTTCAAGACAGATCTCTTTTGACATGCTGATCGTGTGTGTGTGTGTGTGTGTGTGATTCACACCAACTTTTCCTGACTCCCTTTCCACAATTTTTTGCACCATACCATGTGAACAACAATGATAACAATATCAACTAACATATAATGAGTATTTACTATGTGCCAGGCACTCATTGTTCTAAGTGCTTAATATTTATCATCTCATACATAACTTTGGATGCAGGAATAGATTTTAGGCAATTGAAGCATCAGGGAATGGGTGATTTTGGGATAAGATTTGAGGGAACTGTTAAGAGTTTTATTAGGAAGCTGAGTCAAGGTATGAAAGGAGAAGGTGAAAACAAGATTGGTTCAACAAAACATGCAGATGTGTATAAAGGAGAAGAGGGTGGCAAAAATAGATCAAGGAGCCAAGGGCAGACAAGTATTAGCCCACAGGGATTTGAGGATACTGAAATCAAAAGTGATCAAAGAAAGATGATATTATTACCATTTGTGAATAGATGTCCTCCCAAGTTTCAGAAGTAAAATTAATGTGTTCTATTTTGATATAGCAAATAGACCAGCTCCTGGAGCCACAGTGACTAAAATAAAACACAGTTAAACTCTTTTAATGGACCTAGTGATATCTCTAAAGGGTTACATATTATCTGTTAAATATTTGAATACAGCATTGTTCTGGAATAGCCACAGCACAGTCTTTGCATAAAGTGGAGGAACCAGTCTGAAAGCCCTGTCTGCCGTGAAAGTCACAGTACAATGGTTCATCCTAGTGGCAATGTGTTGACAAGGTGGTCTGTGTCCAATCTGGCTGCAGAGACAGATGGGCTCTTAGCCAGACACAGTAGGAGATTCCTGGTGACCAGCCAGAAGGAGCCCATGTGGGTGTATTATTAAGTATGACTTAGTTAGAGCATGAGAGTCAGTTAAATGACTTGTGCTGAATAATCAGACTAGGCTCAACTGAAAATCTGAAACCACAGCCTAGACTGGAAGAAATTTCCACTTTCTCAAAATAACCAAACTCCATCAATCTGTCTTGACCACTTTCTTTAAGCTGTATACTCAGCTGCCCACTAAACATCTCTCAGGATGCCCCCATGGAAATCTCAGCACATCCAAAACCAGTCATGATCTTATCTCCCAAACTTGCCTGTTCTTCACAATTTCCACACCTTGGTGAGTGTCATAAGTCAGAAACCAGGGAATCATTTTTGACTTCTTCTTCCTACCCACCTGCTCCCCAGTGAGTCAGCAAGCCCTATCTCAGCCCTAGTCTTCTCTCTCCTGCTAAGAGCCTATCAAGTGAGGCCCTGCCTCCAGCCTCTCACCCTCAAATCTACCTCCACACTGGTCACCAGAGTAATCTGTCTAAACTCGACCTACAATCATGTACCTCCCCTGCTTAATGTCTTCCCATGGCTGGCTTCCAATTGACTACCTTTCCTCTTTGGTTTCTCTCCTTTCCCCATTATCCACTCTGTGCCCATAGGGAGCTTGGACTGTAAGGGCAAGCAGCCAATAGCCAGGGCTTTGGCAGCTAATCAGAGGGATTTGAGTTTGACATAAGAGGATACAGAAATCATCCTACGGGTTCATAAGCAGTGTGTGACATGATGACAGCTGCACACGACAGATTTTAGAAGTGTGAGACTTTGGTGGATTATTACAACTGATGCAAAAGGACTTAGACTAGTCTTCTACGGTGAGAAAGGAAGAAAAGTGAACCTGTAGGACAGGTAAGGGTAAATACCAAAAAAAAAAAAAGGAAAATCATGAGATGCAACTCGTAAAATACTGCCAAAACACTATTAGCAAAGTAAACAATTCACAGGACATCTAAAGACTTTACAGTCCCATTATTGGAAGCCCAAACCCAAGAAACAAGAGCAAGGGTTAAACACACACACCATTCTAAAGGGCAAGTGAGGAAGGCAGATGCTGGAGAAAACTATAGCTTATATATAAGGGAGAGAGGGCAGGGAAACATAGAAGAGTGTACAGACACAGATAAGAACGGTCCTTGTGACTACGTGTGAAGGCCAAAGAAAGTCAGCTTGCACTCCACCAAAGAAGATGGGCTTCAGGATGATGAAAGCAGTATTCCTCCACTGGGCAGACCCAAAATGACTCCTTAAATTATTTTATTTACTCCTCACAAAGGAGAGTGTTAAGAAGATTCTCACTCTCAAAATGTCTTTGAAGGCAGCCAGCTAAGGAGTTCAGAGTAAATTAGTGGTAGGTGCACATGTTGTTCTAGAACTAACGAAATGTTTACATACATAATCAACAGAATTGGATGCCAATTTCAGAAGGTTGCCAGGCTTGGAAACAAGTGACCTGCCAGAGCAAGTCCTTTTCACAAAAACTGCAGGCCTATGAAACCTACACGGAGAGCAGCGTAACTGCTTATGGACTTAGGACGCATGTGGATCCATATTCGAATCCCGACTGAGCCACCCAGCAAATGACAACCCCTGCCGTGACTCCAGTTAAATAGCTTGCCCTAGGTGGGTCACATGGCATTATTGAAGGCCGACTTGTGGCAAGCACCCAACAAGGTCGCTGACTCCAGAGCGGTGCTCTTTCCAGCGGCCTGGTGACCACGGCAGCGGGTCCCCTCCCACCGCCGTCCCCCAGGCCTGGAGTGCCTTTGTCCCCCACTCACCAGAGAGCGCCCGCGTAGGGTAGCCGGGCGGGGGTCGAGGCAGCGGGAGGTGGACGTGGGACTTGGGGGCCCGCGTGGGAGCACCCCCAGTGTGGCGCCGACAGGCGGGGAAGGGGGCGGCCAGGTGGTGATTGGCTGCGCTGCGACAGGCAGCTCCGGGCCAAGAACAAAAGAGAGCGGGCGGCGGGCGTCCCCCGGAGTAGGCGCTCCCGCCCGGCCCGGGCTTCGGTGCTGGG